TACGATTGGCTCATGCGATTTTTTCCGAAATCGTAGATGGTAAACATCGTGTACCTATTGACAATCGTAAGATAAGGGAGGTGCACAGATTCTCCGACCCACATCATCGTTTAGGTGACAATGATTTGCTGGGTGACTCGGCAAGTCAATGCTTGCGTCGTTACTTTTCCTATCATAAAATAAATAAGATTTGATATTATTATAAATTCACTTTTATCACGAAGACATATACAGTAATTTATGTGAAAATACATCATTCAATATTTACTATCACAACTTCATTATTTTTAAGGATTTCGAAAGGTTTGACTAAGTGTCCACGTTGACTTTTCGCAAGATTGATTACAAAGGGTCGAAATCCTGCTGCCAGGTTGGAACTCGGGTGCTTGGTCGGTGCTCGAGTCTAAGTGTTGTCGTCAGATGATGCACTGAATCGATCACTCGTTTGCAGATTCATTCTTTGGAGTTGTTGGTGGATGATCGATGGGTGTTTGCCCCGAAGACTGGTAATCCTGTGTTGTATGCGGACGCCAAGAGGTTGCCCAATTCCATGTCTTGTTATTCTTCGATCGCTTCGGGGATCAAAGCTGCCATCGCTCAGAATTGTGTCCCTGTGGGTAAATCTATCCATGCCTACATGATCAAGATTGGGTCTTTGCAAGAAACAACCCTTTGGAACCATCTCCTCAACCTCTATGCGAAAGCCCGTTGCCTCGACGATGCCCGTGCGCTGTTCGACGAAATGCCTGAGCGAAACTTGGTTTCCTACTCGACCCTTATGTCTGCGAGTTCTGGACTCGGCGATCCTATGTGTGCTTTGCGCCTCTTGTCCCACCTGCGCAAGGCAGAAATCGAGCTCAACCAGTTCGTGTTTTCAGCCTCCATTGTGGCATGCCGGAAGCTCAGAAAGTTGCGTCTGGGCGAGCAAACCCATGCCCAAGTGATGGTCTCTGGATGGGGATCGGACTCTTTTGTCAATGCTGCTCTCATCAACATGTACTCAAAGCTTGGTGATCTGGCGAGTGCTGTCTCCCTTTTCGGTCTGTCTCCGGTCGAGGATCCTGTTATGTTCAACACGATGGTTAGTGGGTACGTAAGTTTTGGTGCCCATGAGGAGGCTCTGAGACTTTTCCAGCAGGCAAGACGGAGTTTTAATCTCCATCCTACAGAGTTTAGTTTTGGGAGTATGATTAAGGCTTGCTCAGAATTGGAGAGAAGGATCGGAGAACAACTTCATGGGCTTATTTTAAAGATGAGACTTGATTCAAACTGTTTTGTTGGAACTTCTCTCATTGATATGTATGGCAGATTTGGAGATACACAAAGCTTGGAAATGGTTTTCCAGAGTGTACAGACATTTGATGTCGCATTGTATAATGCGATGATTGGTGGGTTAATAAGAAATGGACTTGACACTTTTGCATTGGATTATTTCCATGAGATGAGGTCAAAAGGTTTCATCTCAAATGATTGCACCTTATCTGGTGTACTCAAAGCATGTGGTGGTTTGAAGTCTTTGGATTTGGGGAGGGCGATTCATGGGTTTGTTGAGAAGTCAAGTTTTCGGCAAGATGTGGTAGTTAACACTGCTTTGATTGATATGTACATAAAATGTGGTTCGATAAAGGAAAGTTGTCAAGTGTTTGGATGCATGCATAAACGGAATACTGTTTCTTACAATTCTTTGATCTCTGGACATGGGCAAGATGGGAATTACAGAGAGGCTTTAGCCCTTTTTAATGACATGAACTGTAAGCATATAGATGTTGATCTTGCTACCTTTGTTGCTTTGTTATCTTCGTGCTGTGGGTGTGAATGGGTCGTATATGTTCATGCAATTAAGCATGGATTTGCATCAGACTTGATGGTTAGAACTACACTGCTAGATGGTCTTTTCAAAGATGGTGCTGCCGACCAAGCTCTAGAGTTTTTCGATACGATGCGAGAGAGAAACGTTATTTCATGGACTACAATGATATCAGGACTTACACTATCAGGTCACTATTCAGATGCAATGAAGTTTTTTAAAACCATGATTTCTACAGAAGTATCACCCAACAGTTTCACTTATTCAAGTGTTTTAAAGGCTTGTGGCCATTTAGCTGGTCCAGAGGAAGGAAAACACATTCACGCATGTGTCATAAAGCATGGGGTTATGGATGACTATACTAGCAGTGCTCTTCTGGACATGTATGCTAGGTGTGCAGCCCTAGAAGAGAGTAGAAGACTTTTTGATGAACTAACAAACAAGGACATAGTAGTCTGGAACACAATGATCACTGGATATGCACAACACGGGTATGGGCATGAGGCTCTAGAAATGTATGCTCTATTGGAAAAGGAAAATGTACATCCGAACCATGTAACTTTTGTTTCTCTTTTGTCAGCTTGCAGCCACCGTGGGCTAGTAGAAGATGGAATTCAGCTATTTGATTTGATGGTTTCTAAGCATGGTATCGTACCAAGCATGGAGCACTATGCATGCATGGTTGATTTGTTTGGCAGGTCTGGGATGTTAGATAGAGCAGAACAGTTGATCAATGGCATGCCTTTTGAAGCTGATGTTTCAATTTGGGCAACGTTGTTATCTGCTTGCAAACTTCATGGTAATTTAGACCTGGCCGAGCTAGCAAGAGACCAAGTTATGAAAATGCAAGGTGAAGATGTTCCTACAGTTGTGCTCATGTCCAATATGTATTGTGAAGTAGGAAGACAACATGATGCAGAAAATTTGAGGAAGATAACAGGATCACAAACGAGAAAGGAGCCCGGATTTAGTTGGGTTCATGCAGCAGAAGAGCCTTTGTTCAGTTATGGTGCTACATAGGATTAAAAGCATTTTAGTAATGCATTGGAAAATTGCATCCAGAGGCCTCAATTCAAGCAAATTGTATCAGGATCCATCAGATTCCTGTGGTGAACCAACTAAGAAGAGCTCTTTTTGAAATGCAAGTTTGAGAGGTGTGATATAGTATCTCATATACTTTTGATTATGATTAGTAGTACCTTTTATGCTCACTCATTGTTAATATATTTGACATGGACCCTTCTTGCAGTCAGTGTTAAATATTGGCCACGTCCAACTGTTATGCATTGGTGAATAGCTTCTTTTGTTTGGAAGGTAGGCTATCTATTGCATTTTTTAGATTTAGTTTTTTCTTGATATCAGTCAGGCCTTTTGGGAAGTTATAAGCTTTTATATTACAGAATGACCAAGATATGGACCAAAAGGAGGCCAAAATTTCTTTCAGTCAATGTTCTGTTGCTAGAAAAAAGAGGACAAGTTTGTGCTCTTGATCCCCAGCTAGTCAAGTTAGCACAGTTGCTTCGATCATTTTCATCAAGGTTCCAAAATTCCAATTCATTTTGATTTTTGTAATTGCAGAAAATGTTGATAACAATATCTGCATATATTTTCTTAGCAGGTGAACTCTCTGATGAAAGACAGCTATCCTTAATATGTGGGGAAATTGTTATCTTAAGTTTGATTTAACTCATTGCTGCAACGATACACGAGCATACCAGTCAAATAAGGACAAAGGTGAAGTCAAGACCAAAGAACAAGCTCCAGCACAGGAAGTCAAAATGTCTTTAATCTGAATCAAAGACTGCTTTTTATATTTAAGTTGACTCAAATATTCAGATAGTATTTATCCTTGATGCTTAGATTCTTCTAGCATGCTCTCAGTCTGCCTAGGCATCAGGGTATCAGAAAACCTAGCAGCATTGTGATTGCCGTATACATAATCTATAAACTTTGCTGGGCTTCTTCACATGGAACATATAAGCTATATTAGAAACAATGATCATAGATCCTTTGTGACATAGGCTTAATTAATTGTATTCTTTCTCCTTTCAGGTTCAAGAGTATAGAACTGAAGATTTCTGTGGTAAAGATGTCATTAATCACTTCCTCTTTGTGAGTTAAGAAATGAGGTTCTGAGGAAACTTCCAATTTTCTTCAAGCTGATGCAGTATGGAGGTGAGAGCAAACTTCACAAGCTTCTCCTATGTCATCCAGGATTGGAAGATCAGTCAATCAAAACTTGTGCTTCTATGTTCGCTTTATCTGTCAAGTCATCACTTGATTATCATAATTGAGAATGGCAAGTACTGTTCATTTTAAATGTCAAATACTACTATTTGAGATCGAATACATAAATATTTATAGTGGTATCATCCCAGTAGCACAAAGCACAATCTGATGACATCAAAGCATGCCCTCAACAGGAGGGCTTATTTTATAGGACATTTCGCAGGGCATCTATTGGTGCACGCAGCCAATCTCGTATCATCTCGATCGACAACATCAGCCACGGACAGATCCAGCGAACTCCAAACGGATGCTTGACATGACTTTCACCATCGGAGCTATGAAGAGGACAGTCGTTTGGGAAAAATAAATGACGAGCTATGGAAAATCGATGGAGTCACTTAAGAAGAGTATGACATCCGACCTGACGTCGTGGAAGAATGGCCAATGGTTGTATTCAAGTGTGTCAACGTATCATAAGCTCAAACTATGAAACGCTCGGCAAAGATAGAAACGTACAGGTAGGGATGGAATGGTTGACCGATAAAAGGTCCAAAGCTTTCATATTGGAAGAATTCTTTTTCTCTTCAAGAAAAGAAAAACTATATCAAAGCTCCATAAAAAGTTAAAAGTATCTGAAAAGTGTGATAGAAATAGAGATTTCTTTTTCATGTTTGCTTTGCAGCATTAGAAGATGAATGATGTGGGTTAGACTCCTTTATGTAATCTAACCATGGAGTGAGAATCTTCTCAATCGTTTTGCAACAATAATAAAAAGTTTTACGTCTGTCTTAATATCAAAATTCATCATATCGCTCGATGCAAGCGATGCATACCAATTTGATAGAGAATCGGTATGAACGGTATATATTGATATATCAATATGTCCCAATATATCATATGATGTTACATCAATACGAATCGATACATACCATACCGATTATCGATCAGTACACTAATATGAACCGATAAGATAAATGATGCTTAATATATTTTATTAGTAATACATACAATTATAAGATATTTACATTTACACCCACCTCGATTCCGGTTAAACTTCACATTATTCCTATTCCACCTAGTATCTGTTCTAAACACATAATTATACACAAAAATTTACTTTAAAGAAGAAATTAGAACAAAACCACGTATACGAACATATTCCAAGAATTGCAAGAACGTTCATCCCCCCCCAATCGGAGATCGAGACCCCATATTCCATTGGCTTCTTCAACAGAGATCAATGGAGAGGAGATCTTATGGGAACTCTTATAGCTTCTTGTTGCTGTGAATCAAACATACTCAACTTTGAGATATATGCTTTCCAGCGACATGATGATTTCTCTACTGGATGAGGATGAATCATGGATGAAGCAAGCAATGCCAATGCAGCACTGCAAATATTAGTCATGGACCAAAATCATTTGCTCAGCTTGAATTGACAACAGACCAACATACACATCACACCGAAGGTTTTGTAAATGATTGAATTACTAAAAGCTTTTGCAGTCTTACCTGCAAGTTTGCTCTACGCTCACTATCCCTGCCGCATCCACTGGACAACTTGCTTCCAGGAGAATCTTTAGATGACATAAATTACCTTAAATGTCTGAATGACCAACTCTTGATCTACAAAACTTCCACTAATACAACCACCTTTGGAAGTGCCATCTGAACAAGACATGTCAACAGCAATCACTGTAACTTACATAGGAAAAATAAGGCTTCCGAGTATATGAGAAAATAGCAGAATCACACAATTAACCAAGATTTTACCTGCTTGTCACAGACTTAGCTGGTTTTACCTAAGTCGTGCGGCACCCTTGCGTGTCCGTCCGCAAAGGTCAGTATCCCCGAAACTTCCTATGGTCTCTTAGGACCTACAAAAGAGAAAACGGATTAAAGAAAACGTGGGATCCACAAGTAAACATTTCAGAAAACACTTAATAGCCAATACAAATTATAAACAGACTTTACAAGCTCTGAATGATTACACAACAAAAGGTCAAAATGGTCCACTATAGATCGAATATCTCTCACAAGTGTCCACATAACATAATCTTTATTTACAAGCCTAAAATGACCACTAAACCCAACTAAAATGGGGCTGTTAAACCTTCGACCGTCCCTCTACATACTGTGCAAAGCATGAACATACCAAAAGATATGAACATACATAAGCATTACATCAAACATCATGTTTAGAATTTTGTCTGTGACATTCTCCCCCACTTATTCCTTCGATATCCTTATTGAAGTCTTTACCGACACTGCAACTCCTCGCCTTTGTTGAGTCTTTAATCTTCTCCTCCAACTGCAATGCGTCTCTTGGCTCCTAACTGCTCTCCGTTGCTATTGTTGAGTAGTCAAACTTTTGATCCGCCATGTTGCTTCAACTCCCCAATGACTCTAACTCTAGTGTGGGGTTAGTTGAGTTACGTTGATCCATGTTGGTTCCTACGGATCCTTTAGATGAAGGAAAATACAATCCTTACTATGCGCTAGTTTCTCAAATACCTCATGCTGCTTGAACTGGGTGGATGCTTGTTGGAGCTTTAACGAGTATTGCCTCGCAAACTTTTTGAAGTTTTGGGTCCTTCCTCCATAAAATTTGCCCATCGACTCTTCTTTCACTTAGTTATCACTTCTAAGTAGATTTGCATTACTTCTGCTTTCGATTGACATTCTGTTGGGAAATGAAGTGGATAATCTATTCTCAGTAGCACTGATCACTATTGGTGATGATTTAACAACTATTGTCTTCTATTATCTTTGAAGGGTCTTTGAACCTGTGCATAGCTCCTCTGTTAGATAGATAAGAGAATTGGGGTACTCAGTTTTGCCCATTCTCTTAAGAGTTGAGAAAGTAAATGTTACTTGACTTCGCCCACCTCCTCGAGGGTTGTACTCTATGCTTCGAGCTGGTTACTGGCCTTCGCTTGCTCTTTGCTCACACTTCTGAAGCACTCGAAGTGTTTGCACTCCTTGCATCAAGTTAGCTACTGTCATTCACCTTCTCAATGCCATCAAACTTCTAGATTGTAGGAAGTTTTCACCTCAACTTAGAGCAAGTTTCTTGTAGTTTTGGTGCCTCTAGGATTGTACCGTCTTCTCCATCAACCCTGTCGCCTACTCCACTGAGTAGTAAAGGTACAACATCGCGTACTGCCTGCTTCGTTACTTGGTTGTGTACTCTTGCACGATCTAAAGTCCTTTACTTTCAGCTATCTTGATGAGAAGCTCGTTGACACCGGTCTAACGAAGTTCCTTGGCCTCTGCTCTTCAGCCTTGTCTCGATACTTAGAGTTTGCCTCTGCATGCTCCACCTCCTCGGCCACTTTCATGACCAAGTGCTCTCCCTCCATAAGAGTAAGGGATCGATGACTTCACGAAAGTCCCGCCTCTGCAATACCATAGTGTTACCATGCCCATGTCCCTACTATCTGTCGTCTCACATCTACATCCTTTTTCATCATGATCAGTAGATATGTCTCTATGGCACTCCTCTAAGTCTACCTCCATTCTAACCAATGCTTGGTTTTAGGTGGCTAAGTTCCTCTGGACTCATCGTCGCTTCCTCGCCCCTTTAGACCCCCTGCTTCAACACCTATGTGTTCTCCAAGCATTTCCCCTTGGTTGATGAAAAGACAGACTGCAACTCCCATGCATGGCCTCTGCCATCATGTTGTAGGATTTGCACTAATTCTGTTCTCCTTAGCTTCCTTGGTAGTAACGTTTGCTTACTCGACCTTGTCCTCTGACTTGCCGGGCTCCCTTAAGTGAATATAAGCTCTGGAGCAGTCCAACTCTCTAGCTACTTCAATCATACCTCTGCATGATCAAGTCCCTCCCATAGGAGTCGCTGGTACTTGCATTCGAACTTTTTCCTCGGTGGTACACAACCCCCATATGCTGATGACCAAGGGTTTCATCCGATATAAAATTCGATGCATGCACGGAAGACCTGTCTCTGCGGTACCATGACTTCACTTTTTGAATCCATAGCCCTTCTTGTCTCGTGTTGTTCACCGAAGTAGAGCTCCCAATAGCTCTGGATCATACCTCCGTATGAGATAGTCCCTCACAGGACTAGATTCATGTGTATCGCATTGCCACAAACTATTCCACCACGATTCGCTGCATTATATCGCCTCCTGGTAACATCTATATTACATTCTGATCATTGTGAGCCCTCCATGTGTGGCCTCTGCCAACACATCGTAGGGCCTCTTCCACCTTCGATTTTGTTCGCTCCTTTGGCAATTGATCTTCATCCACCTACTCTCGGGTCACACTCAGACGAAACATAGCTCTAGGACAGTCCATCGCCTAGTAGCTCCCGAAGTCCACCGACTTCGCTAAAATTGGTATACCATTGTCTAGATCCTGGGCCTTTGCCCCTACCAGCATAATCTCCACTACGCACCGCTTCCTTCATGGCAACTTGAATGGTAGCACTATGGTATATTCTTCAAGAGTACTTGCTTCCGTGTCCTCTTGCCCCGTGCCAAGGCCTTCTGAACCCAACTTTGCCTCCGCAAATTGAGTATCCTTAGTTCCTCCATCAAATGCTTATCCGAGATAAGGTGCATGAGCCCGAAGCTCCCTTCGTCTTTGGCACCATACAAGATGAGTCCGTTCCATCAGAATGAAAGACCCATGGAACGACATGATCCCGCTCTTGCCTTTACAAGAGTTTATATCCTTGACCTTTATTCAAGGAAAGTTGTGTGCCTTCGCTCCATGTTACATCTTCTATACTGGCTCCCTTCATGCGGCTTAGGTACTTCGCCAAATTACCCCCAAGTTGCTCCGCTCCTCATTTTGTATTGAGTTAATGGTAGCCCTCACACCCACCATTCCACAAGTCAGCCCTCCATTGAGTCTAATCTCCATATCGACTCCAAGTGTGCCTTCATTTGTGTTGCTTTGGGTCGCTCCCCCACTTGATCTCGCAATGCATCCACCAATGCACTCTCAAGTGAGATCATACAACGACTTCTCGCCGCTCACTCGGTCCATTGAGCTTCGTGGAGTTGTTGTTTTTGAGGTACTCCTCAACATGTGCGGTCTGTTGCATATGATTCTCCCTTTGGAGAACCGGGACTTATCTCTCCTGGATATCTATCCCGTTGGAGCAATATCTCTCTTCGCTTCCTTCTCTTTGAAAGTTTCAGAGACCACCATCCCCTTGGGCTACTCCGACTTGCTAAATAAACTATGCATTGTTCTGCCTCTTGTAAACACACTTGCTAGGTTGCGACTCCATATCAATATAGCCCTAACTGCACCACTCAAGGCTTAGCAACATATTGAACTCGCTGCACATTTCAGCCTCCTACGGACGTATCCTTCTTATGTCGAAGAGAAAGTTTCAATACTCTATAGCGCCGAGTTTCAGTCACATTGGGATGGCCACGAACATTCCATCGTTTGTATACAAGCCCTTGCATGAGTATCGAATTCTTCGAGTTAGCAATTCCCCTTACCTCTGTGAGCTTTGCATAACTCTTTCGGTCGCTGAGCAACCCATTCCACCTTACATAGTCTCATTCTTTACCAAGTGTCTTGCTTGCCTTGAGCATCATCAAGTATGGTTGTCAACGTCGAGCCCTAGCTCGAACTCAGCCATCCCAACCTTTGTGCGCTACGGATTCTTCTAAGCTTGCTTGTTCTCGTGGTGCCTCTTGTCGAAGGGTTGGTCATTCCTCTGAATGCTAATCTCAAATGCTCGCTCCTCCGAACGACTCTTTTTTCCTGCATCTCCATGCTCGTTTTCCCCCAAACGATCGCGTGTGTTGATTGCCCTAAACGCCGACCCGCTAGGTCCCCCACGTTTATATGCCAAGTGTTTCTATGAGTGCTTGTCTCGCTCTGATACCATTTATTACAGACTTAGCTAGTTTTGCCTAAGTCGTGCGGCACCCTTGCATGTCCGTCCGCAAAGGTCAGCCTCCCCGAAACCTCCCATGGTCCCTTAGGACTTATAAAAGAGAAAATGGGTTAAAGAAAATACCTTACTCGGATCCACAAGCAAACATTTCAGAAAATACTTCATAGGCAAGGAGCCTTTCACTTTAAGAAAAAACTTGGAAGGACATTAAATTCATCAGAGAACCATGTTGATCCAGGTCGTTCAGCAGTTTCACAACTAGGTTCAAGACAGTAAAAACATGTAAGGGCACTAAATTCATCAGAGAACCATGTTGATCCAAGTCTTTCAGTAGTTTCACAACTAGGTTCAAGACAGTAAAAACATGCAAGGACACTAAATTCATCAGAGAACCATGTTGATCAACTCAAAACAATCATTATATTTCTTTAAACATTTCTTCCAAATAAAAATTTATGCAGTTTCCATCAAGTAAAAGCCATAAAATGGGGAAAGAACAAATGTCATCAGTGACATAATATTCAAATTTTAATCCTGTTGTTCTTCCTGAAGTAGGAGCATTTAACTATCTAGAACAACAAGTCTGGGCACCAAAAACCTAACGAGACAGGTTGTTTTCCCTTTCTGGATAATCTTATGGCATTTCACCAATCCATTTGGATTGAAATGTTAACCCTGCACGGCCAAATCCCTTAAGATAGATGACAACTTCATTTATGACAAACTAGACACCTTGTTCGTCGCCTACTTTAGAATTCAAGAGCCTTAAACAATGTGAGATTCTTCACTTGTGTCCAAATTCTCAGTTACAAGAGAAATGTTGATCATATTCATGTTCTTGATACAGAAACAGCACATCATATTTTAATTATGGCATGGATAAATAATAAACTTGTTGGAATGAGAATATCAATTACATTTAATGCCATAACAGAAACAAAAACTTCTCCCTGGACTTCCTTTTATGGGAAAAATATTTCAGTAGCTTCTGCATGCTTCTTCCATGGTAGCATCTCGTATGTTTCAGTCTGTTTTGATGATGGAACTTGACTTTAAATTTTCAAAATTAGTCTTGACAAGTTTAATGTCTAATGGATCTAATATGTCTAATGATCTCATCTATTACTATTATTAGTATACTACCTCATTACATATCACCCGATACTCGTCCAGTAAAATTTCGATAGCATCATCAGCACCATCGAGAACATCAAACTTCGAAAGAGCTATATAGAGCTAAATGCTACAGTAAACATCAAATATAATGGTAAAAGGAAAAGAAAGATAAAATGAAAAATAATGGAATTTTGAATGTATCTCGATAAATCTATATATATTGTGGGAAAAAGTATGTGCCCATATTACATAGATCTCACCCGTAAAATTCTGAAAAGCAGCATTCAGACTTCAGAGATAAGAGAATTCAATCTATCAAGGATATATTATAATAATCTTGATGAATTTCAAGGGAGATGCTTACATATTTTCATGTTGCATCAGCAAATGGGAATCACTTTCCGAGTAACAGGAGAGGCTGCATGCATCCGCAAGTGCTGATTTAGCAATGGAGAATGTCACACTTTCATAAGCTCTAGTGGTCTCTCCTTTGAATACCTTAGCTGGTACAGCTGGAATAAGATGATGCATCAGCTGGGTTGTCAGGATTAGCCCTCTTCGTGACTCAGGAATCAAGAGGCCATCATCCATAGTTTCAGATCCATCATCAGCCTATATTAGAAAACAAGGTCAATAATATTCATAGTAAAAGTTTGGGATAAATGGCATTCAAAAATTGACTAACCAACCAAATTGGTATACATTTTACAAACCTTCTCAGCCAATCGATTGAAAGCCTGAGGCCAGTCCAACTCTGGCATACTGGAAAAGGATTCACATACTCAGACTATTCAGAATCAAAAAATATATTTTTTCTGAAAAGCAAAATACAAAAAAAAAGGATACTAATTAAGCAAAAACTCTGATATCAAGAACCATCACCTTATGCTTCGCAACTAGGTTCACAACTAGGTTCAAGACTGCATTCTGCCCATGAACAAATTTCTGATCTACATTTAAGCTCATCTGTGAAGCACTGGAACTAAAAGCAGTTTCTTTCAGTGTGTTTCCTGTCACCTTGTTTAGATCAGAGACAGAAGCCTTCATGGATTGCACTTGATGAAGTAGCAAATAGCTTTGCTATAGCGGCCCAAACTAGACCGGTACATACCACCCATACCATAACGTCGGATGGTACAGCAAACGTTGAAAAGCATAGCCTGCCCATTTCAGCAGTCCCAGCACTAGGCATGGGAGAGTACAATACCCTGACCACATATCATGGTTATCTGATAGTGACAAGCGCCATGCAGCTATCAGCATAATGCATCAGCGCAAGGGAATTCTTGGCGAGAATGATCATGATAAAATAATGGAGCTAAATGGATAGTCTATAATGTACTTTGTTGGAGCAACTGTCTCGTTCTGGAAAATTTGAGCAGTTGATCCATCAAAAGAATTGCCAGTGGCACAGAGAGGTATGGTATTTCCAGACAGCAATTCTTCTGTTCCCACTGCAATCCTCTGTAGATCAGAAAGTTTCCAATATGAACTATAAAAATTTACAGATAGATTAACAGGTGAGGTAAAGAAGTACAAAATTATACTGGTTCCACAGTATGACCAGAAAACTGTGACTGACTTTCCAACAAATGGTTGCTCCTCATTATTCGATCCTTGAGAAACGGAGTTGGAGTTGGATGGGCCCTGCAGTCTTCCTCAAACTTTGCAATGAACTGCACAACATTTTAAACTGGTTATATTACCAGTTAATAAGGACTTCTCTTTTGCTGCATTTCCAACATAACCCTCATCTGTGACCACTCTTCTGCATTCCTTCTAATAGCCTATCACCCAATCTTTCTGCAGCAGCACTTAAAGATGTGTTCCAAGTTTGTGGTCTCCCCGTTGGTTGATTCTGGTTCTCAATAACATCTTTGTCACCTCCAGAATTCACACATAAATTAAGGGCAAAATGTTCCTCAAAGACAGTTTGCCGTGCATTGAGAACCTGTCAATAATATGCTATGGGATTTAAGGTGTTGGTTTCCTTACAGAATCAAACTGACCTGATAAAAAATCTTCGGCTTGCATCTTGGGGCTGCCAATAATATCGGTTTTAACTGGTTGCAACCCACAATTCAGATTACCATGATTTTCACCAATCTTCCACAAACTGTCATCAATTTCTTGATAATTTAAAAGTGTTGTGACCTCTTGATGCCACCGGATAACTTGCATTTAAGCTGTTTAGCTTATCAACAGGCAGGATAGAAACATTAGAAGAGAACAAGTTTTGTTGGTTACCCCAAACACCTCCTATGTCCTGTGACTTCAAAAGTTACCAGAACTAATTTCACGCAGCTGAATAGTTTGTCCAGCCCAGGCTCCACTAGTTGAAGGTACTTGAACTTGAAGGCCACCTTCCACAGCTTGGGTATGATTCTGCTCTGAAGGAACTCTTTGTTACCGGGTCCTCCGGAAGAAGTCTTGAAAGATGCATGGGGAACCTCAGTCAGAGGAATGCCAATTACTAGGATCAGAGTTTGAGGTTGCATTAACACCATTAATCAAGGGAAAAGTTCCCGGAATTAAAGAAGTTGCACTCTTAAGGTTGCTATCATCCCAAACAGCTGCATGTTTCCCATTATCATTAGTAGTTACAAAATGCTTTACCGGTCAGTTGCTCTGTTTTCTGAAAACCCATGCCACTCCATTCCTCCTGCCCCTTATCAGCAACGGAAGCTTGAACAGCCTCTTGTATAAGAGCACTACAGCTCCCACTACGGATAGAAGGAAACACACCATAATAACCACTTTCTCAAGGATGCCCATGAATATCACTAACCATGCCAGAGATAAAGCTCCCTCCAGATGGAAGACCCCAATTGTGATCATCATCAGAGCCAAACAAGAGCTTCAGTTCTATAGGATCTAGACTAGCCACAGTGCTAGAAGTCCCTACTTCTGATAATGGCTCTTCCAGTGAATTACCAGATGACATTTATTGTTTTTTGTGTACCATGAAATTCCTGGAACTGAATGCTGCTTGGCATATTGTTCATCTATTGAAAGTTTCATGATGGAACATTATTACCCAGAACTTGTACTGGATAATTGCCAAAGTCATGTTTCCCCTGAAAATTCTGTGCAGTAGCTAAAGCCTTATCCTGTAAGCAACTTTGTGAGGCCACTTGATAATCAGCTCACAAAGTGCTAGATGAATATGTTGGCTTTTCTGCCTTGGTTGCAGCTGCCTTAGTCATCAAATCATGACAATCATCAACATTCTTAATAAATGTGAATAGTTGTTGACAGAGCTGGTATCTGAAGTAGGCATGCCAAGAAAAGAGTGATCGATCTTTTGTGGAATAAATCCCATAGATTGTGTTGCCTGATTTTGATCATTTGATATAATTACACCATTTGCATGGTTCTGCATGGCAACAGAGCAACTGGGCTGCACCAAGTTCATGTTTCCAGCTTTAAACACATGAGATTTACTAGGTATGTTGGATGTGCCTCCAACAAAATTATTAAGCCACATACTGCTATATGCTTGACTGATGGCTTTCGTTTAACCTTGCGGGTGACTGATTTCCTGTTGCAGGGTTTGATACAGCAGATAACTGACTAAGCGGACTCAGCTGCCTGCTCCCTGATCTAGCTGCTGAAGTTGCTGCTGTCTCTGAACCTCTTGGAGCTGCTTGTACATCAAATATTGTTGCCACAGCTGCTTATTGCTTGCACAATGTGCTGTCTTGGACAAGAAAGAGACACTCAAAAGAGGAAGCACCTAAGAAGCAGCATATTCAGCAGTCTCTTGCCTCTAAATCTTCAACAAGATCAGAAGCTTTCCTTGGATACTTTAATAGCCATCAGAAATATTAAAAGAAAATATGAGTATCGGTACCAAAGAAGCCTCAAGCTTATGCTTTGAAAATTTAGTATCCAATTGTGACTATATGGATGAAAATATACTTTTCTGTCCTATAATCTCCACATAAAGACCCTTAAAAACAAACCATATTAAACACAAGAATCAGGCTTCCTGAGGGGCAAATAACTGATTGTCATTGATAAGGCACCATATTAACTTCCTCTTCCATAGATTTCCATATGTTAAATTAATAGCAGCATTTACAAAAGAGAAATAAATCACTAAGCTTTCCAAATTTTAGGTGCTTTTTCTAAGGGGCTACCAAAAGTACCCTTCGAGAGGCAAATTCAAGACAACTACATGACATATACCTGAGAACTGAGAACTGGAACCTTTTAGATTAAGATTTCACAGCATATTATTCAAATACTGAACGACCCATGGAAAATTCTACAAAGTCAGCCAACTTCCAGCTTCTTGATATGGATGAATACAGAATGAGTACTCCTTGAGGAAAATCTAGACCTCCTCAGAAACTTCACTCCTAGCAAAAATCCAGCCTGCTCTGACCAGGGGGGGGGGGGTTATAACTTAATTTCCCTGGTATTTTGTGCATTTATCTCCTTGCCAAACAAAAGCAATTTCCTGATATCATTATGAGTTCCTTCAACATAAACACTCAAAAAGTGACTGAGCCTGTGACATAATCAAATTCATTTATCACAGGAATGATTTAAAGAATCCATAAATAATAAAGAAGCAGCAAAATAAAGAAACTCAGTAAGTCACAGTGCACATCACTTTTCTCAATCTGTAAGCTGGTTAAATTCGGCAAGGAACATGATAAGAACAAAAAAATCATGTACTTTCTACATACCATAATTAACGAAAAAGGAACATGAAGTGTGTTTTTATATTTCAGCCAAACAGGTTTGGAATTATCAGCATTAGGGCATTGAGAGCATATGGCTTCCATGTGAACTAGCTAAAGCTTCTTCACACTGCTGACCAAGGATTGAAATTTCATATTGTATTAAAGTTTTGAATTTCGCTCGGTACGGTATGGTACTATGTACCGAGTAGTGTACCAGGACGTATCGAGCGAGAAACCTAATTTAAACGTAAAATCCTTCAAAAATATCTAAAAATTAAAAAAAAAAGTTAGGATAATATTTTTAAGTTAGAAATAAATATAGTACTAGTATAAGTTTAGCAAAACCAATGTAAATTAGATAAGAATAGTATAATATGTTTTTTTCGAACATTAAGGAATAACCTTATGCAAGGTTTGTATTTTGATCTGTTACGGATTGCTCTTCTGTAAATATTGAAATATCTATAGAAAAATCATTTGAATTGTTAATTCACAAATCGTTACTTTGTAGAGTTTATGAGAGTGTAAATATTAGAAAAAATAAGTTTGAGGTAGTTTAAGAGAGTGTGAGAGTGAAATGAAATGAAATAGGGGAAAACATGAGTTTAAAAACCGAACTGTACCGAGCAGTAACGACCGAAATTTCGATCGTTAACGTTTGATATACTCTTGTATCGTCCAATATATCCCAAAAGTGGGTGGTCCACATATCGGTATATTGTCGGATCGGTATATATCGCCTGGTATTATTCGAAATTAAAAACCCCACTATTGACCACAAAAGTATATTCTTTTTTAAAAAATATTTTTCTTGTTGCTGCTTCCTGATTATAAAGCAACTATTAACTGTATTTATGAAGTCCACACTGATTCTATGTGACCAAAGTGTTGTGTTGTCAACTATAACCATAGAAAAAAGGAATGAGAAGCAGAAAGCGAGATTGAGTATCAACAGAATATGCTTTAAACAACAGAAATGTAAAGGAGAGAGGGATAGTGGCGAAGAAGCAGAAGAAGAGACCACGAGTTGTATGCCTAAAGTAGTACATTTTGAAGAAAAGAAACAAAGATATTTGAACAGTATGCCTATCCAAAGCATCAATCATACGGCTCAAGATTTTTTCAAATCATAGTAGACACAAAATGACCCCTTCAAGAGTCACTCGAAGATCGTTTCTTATGTTGCCAATCCAAAAAGTTGAGTTCATTCAAAAACATCCCATAGTAGGTACATCGCTTGCATGCACCAATTCAACAAGTTGACATCTTCAACAATCATTCACCACCATATCAAAAAGAGCCTTCTATTTTTGGTAAAATGTTGTGCTCAAAGAAATAGACTAGCTGAAGATGAACAAAAACAAACTATGGCAAATAAAATTTCCAATTCCAAAACTCTAGTTCATGACTACATGCTCTAAAGTAGCCCAAGACAACAGAAATGAAGTCCCGGTTCTCACCAAAGAGTGATCCCCACCATATCCCTCTCAAATCGGGACCAAGAGCACCAACTTCGCCACCTCGACAGGCAAATCCAAACAAAGTAGCATAGCTAGACGCAGAAGGAGAAGAATCCAACACCTACGACCGATTGCCCGGCATCAGATTAATGAATCGACCCGCGAGTCTGCGGGCGGGAAATTTGGTGATCTTTTCGTGGCGGGAGAGGGAGCGGGGGCTCGATCGTCCCGGAGACAGGGTCAGGGTTCCTCCGACCTCCGAATCGGGACCTAGGGTTTCCGTTCCGCGAGGTACGGAAGCGCGATCACCCTACTGGATCTCTCTCTCTCTCTCTCTCTCTCGGCGAAAAAGACTTTTTTTTATTTGAGAAAATATTTGGGTCTAACTTTCGGAATTTTTTTAGAGCTCTCCAATTATATAAAAAAAATTCTGCTGTCTGACTTATTTATTAAAAATGAATAGAAATAAATGATTATGATGCTGCAGGGTCTCACAAAGTTAGGGTTATCAGCTTATAAAGCTGCATCATGTTTAATGGATGCATACAAGAAGAGAAGCCAAGTTTAAGGTGGCACTTCTGCTGCAAAAATGTCACCAAA